TGCTAAGGAATGTGATAAATAGAAGGTCAAAGATGGACTAAAAGCCTGCTAGAAACCGCAAAAATGCAGAAGCATACAGTTGTGTAATACCAACTAGAAACCGCAAAAATGCAGAAGCATACAGTTGTGTAATACCAACGATGCTGAAACAATGTAACCAATAGTGAGCTATGATTTTGCACTATGCATGAGCTAATTAAGAACTGTATTTAAGCTAGAGCAAAAGGTACAATAAACGAGATCTGCTGATGACCACCTGGTGTCCAGTCTCCCTTCTCCGACACAGTGCCATGTGCCCAAACCCACAGGCATGTGCTAGATGGAAAAAATAACAAATAACCCACTTACCAATTTTCATATCAAATGTCCAGGCAGGTACAGCATCTCCTGATTTTACAGTAGTTGTGGGAAGAGGAAGTGTAATCTGAATGGGACCCTTTATGTTCAGTTCTTTCCCAGCCAAAAGAACATTTGCACATATGGCAGCAATAGGAGTTAATTCCATGCTTTTGAAACCTGAAGGCAAGAAATATCTTTTAATTCTCCTTTTACAGTTTATTTTAAAAGAAATACATTAAGAATTAAGCTACTACAGGCAAGTCCTCATCCACATCCAGCTCCACAGTCAGCTGTTACCAACTGGGTCAAATAAAAATCAACATTACTTTTCTTCTGAACTTTTAACAACTTATGATTAAAACAAATCCGAGTCATTTCTATACCAATGCTATGAGAGAAGCACATTTGCAACATCTGGATTATGTGCTGACCACAGAACTAACTGTGAGGCAAAACTTGTTTTGGGGTGGGGGAAGAAGGGTTTTTCTGCTCAGATCATCAGATTACAAAGCCCCTAACTGATGTGAAATACAGATCATACAGGAAATTTGGTATAATCACAATATGCATAACATTGAATGAAACTGAAAGCATATGGAACCTCTCCTGTAAGGATTAATTTCCTAAACTGGCAGCCAGAATTAACTGAATAGTTAATCATTAGGCTTGTCAAAGCACTCAGAGGAAATGTTGCATTTACAAGGTGTAGAGAGAAGTGTAGAGAGTATTGTTCAGGCATGGCTTGCTGAGAAAGGGCATAGTCAAACTAAGCTGGAAGAGATATAGGCGAGAGGTAGCCTGAAGGACAGGGTGCCCTTGAGAGTGAGGAACATGCTAAGGAATGTGCTAAGGAATGTGATAAATAGAAGGTTAAAGATAGACTGAAAGTCTGCTAGAAACCGCAAAAATGTAGAAGCATACAGCTGTGTAATACCAATGATGCTAAAACGATGTAACCAATAGTGAGCTATGATTTTGCACTATGCATGAGCTAATTAAGAACTGTATTTAAGCTAGAGCAAAAGGTACAATAAACGAGATCTGCTGATGACCACCTGGTGTCCAGTCTCCCTTCTCCGACATATGGACATACACATTATGTGTTCTTCACAGGAATTTAGGTTTATAGAAAGCTTGCTTAAAACCCATAGTTCCCATGCATACTTTGGAGTAATCATAGAAAATTAAACTATCTGCAAAAAAGGATTTGTGGAAAGAAGTGAAATAACTAAAAACAGTTGAGAAAATGTTCTAACAGCCCCTAAATACATAAAAACCAAGCTAAGCATTTTCCTATAAGACTGAAGCAACATTATTAAAAAAAAAAAAGAAAAAGAAAAAAAGAAAATGGTAAGTTTCCATATGTGCACTGTAATAAGCATTCCATAAATTCAATTCAGAGAAAAATATTTTATGCATTTGGGCATAAACTGTTTTCCCTAGAAATGTAGCTGACAGCAGCAAAAGGTCTTTATGAGCTGGACCTATACCAATGAGTGGCAAGTATGATTTAGGGACACCTGAACACCGCTTACATTCTTGAGTTATGAGGACTTAAAACCTTTAAAGGCCAGTCACTGCAGCAGAGAAACTGCCAGGATTTGGAAGTAGCCAAGTTGCACAAGTCATCAGGGAACACTGAACTGAAGGATGCATATGGGAAGGGCAGGAAGAAGCTCAGTGTATGAGATGCTGGCAGACTCATTGATTTCCAAGCCCAAGTTTTCCCTTCATCAATGCTTGGCAAGGTGAGGGGAGTACAGAGAGGCAGGCTGAAGGGGAGCAGAAGAGAAAGAAAAGGAATGACTATAGAAGAAGAAAAATGCTGGATGATTAGACTAGTTTGGGGGCTAAGATCAGGGAAAACAGAAAATGATCATCACTCAAAAAAAAAACAAAAAACAAAAAACACCAAAAACAAAAACAAAAAACAAACCAAAAAAACCCCCCAAAAAAACAAACCAAAATGGCATATAAAAACTGAGGACAAATCTTTTGTTTGGCTGTGAGTGAAGTTCAAAAGGCAAGAGATACTGAGCATCACACTATAACTGAAACTTTCTCATAGTCAGAAAGACTTGTCACTTTGATGCTTCCAGTTTTTAAATATCCTACACCTATACATCTTTAACTGTGTTCCTACTTAAAACAAACAAATAAACAATCCCCCCAACATTCTAAAGTTAAATTTAAGGTAAGTCCTGTACTTTTCTAGAAGATAAGAAACAATCTCCTTTTTGCAGTATATTTTGATGCTCAAGCCTAAAAAGGGCACTTACTGAGTACCAAAGTAACCAGAAAGGGAAAGAAATGGAATTTCAGAATTTAAGCTAAATTAAATCTCCCACTTGGTTTGAATTCTGTGTATTTCTCACAAAGCTCCACAACAGATGCTTAACCTACACATATTGACTTGCTTGCTTGGTAAAGTACTTGGCACACTAATGTTGCAATATTATTAAACCTGGTCATACCATCTGCAATCCATTTTTAGTTGGAAAGCGCTATTTTAATAGAAGTGAATAATATATATAATCTTCTTACATTTTCCACCCTAACAATAATAACAGAGCAAACTAAATATTCCAGAAATTGGAGTAAGTCTACTCAAAGCATACATTTTACAAGGACTACTTCATGGTCTTTTGTCAGAAACTCACATAAAAACACAGAATAAATTTAAATAGTTCTCTGAACAAAACCAGTTAAATGAAATACTTCATATCTGCATCACTTACCCAGTCCCAGCCCCACAAATTCATCAGGTGCCTGATCTTTTGTTCCAGTAAAAGAACCTTCCCTGCCACGCACTGTCCCTGAGATGTAGCGAGGTTTTACTCCAGTTCCTATTAACTGTGCCAGTTCAAGTTGACTGATGCATTTCAGAATCTATTCCAGAGAATAAAGAAGTTGTTTACCAACAAAAAGCAGTTTGAAATAGTAAAAAGCAAGTAAAGATCTTTAGGAAAAAAAAAAATTCCAATACTTGAGGTCAAAAAATCTAGTTTTTTGTCTAAAATGATATAAATTTAAATAGTACTGGATTAGTCTCTCTCAGTTTTATTTCTCACTTAGAGAAGTTTTGCTACTTTAATAAGTATACATGCAGCACTTACCAAAACCCCGCTGTGTTTATGCACAACAAGCACACTACTGTGTTGAACATCAGTGAACATGCTTTCTTTCAGTTTAAGGACAAATGACTAGTACCTCATGCCAAGAATTTCCTAAATAGTTTCCATCTGTATGAGCCACCGTGATGAGAGTTTTAATGGTGTCAATGTTCTTCTGCTTCATTTCAGTAATACCAGAACTCACTGTAAGCAATGTAAATCTTGCTAATGCTTGAACGTAGGCATCTCTTTCAAGCTACAAATGGGAAGGAAAGAAACACAAGTCTCATAAATATTTTTGCCATTTCTTGTTCTTAGTACAATCTGTGTGATTTCATCAACTATACCATTTACCTTTCTCTTCCTAGAACTGCATTTCCAAAGCATAGTGAAAATATCTCAAGTTCTTCACAAGTAAGAAGATATCTGTGGGATGAAATCCTGTTCCTTCTATTCAGGAACGTGAAGGTAATGTCTGACAGCACAGAACACATCAATGTGTTTAGGTTTCTGGTTTGGTCTTTTTTGGGGAAAACAGGATGCTGTTTCAGAAGAAATGCTGCTACTTAGCTAAGTTTTCAATATTCTTGTACCATACTCTGACCTACCCTGAAAATGCTGCCTTAAGCAGGCTCACTGAAGCTTTAGCATTTTTTGGTCAACAATATCTAAAAAATGTATCTAAAAGGCCTGTTATGCCAATTCTATGGAATTACTCAAAACATTTTTGATTTAATTTGCACCATTTGGAGCATCTCAGAAGCTTCTGAAGGAAGTGTCATGGGTAAACAGCAAGTGACCAAAATGTAGACAGATCTCACAAAAGAAAATTCTACCCAGTTACCCGATTTTTATGTGTATGATATCTATAAGCAACAAAGAGATCTCCTCAGATCTCACATTCTCACATGAACCAATTACAATGGTAAAAAAGGGATTACAGTTGAGCCCACAATGAATTTTATTCTCCTGTTATATATAAACTGAAGGCTGTAAAGTGAAATGGTTGTATACCAGATAAACAAATGACAATTACAAAATATATTTAACTGTTTGGATATTTAGGGCTATTTTGAAGTAAAAAATCATTAAGTACAGAAAACAATGAAATTTTAAAAAAACCAAACCCAGGAAGAATGGGATTCCACAGAGAAAATACTAACACCACAACAGTGGGCTATGGTAGAAGGGACAGACTGCCACTGAACCACTGACTACAGAATAGCTGCCACATTCAAACCCAACCATTACTGCAGGGTACACTGGCAAAGGCAAAGAAAATTATGTAGAAGCACAGAAAAACAAAGTCTCAGAGTACTAAGCAACAAAGCTTTAGTTTACAAACTGCATATTTTCTGTAAAACATTTTCAGTCCTACTCATTCATGCAGGTATTCCCACTCCCCCCCTTTTTCTAAGCCAGCACAGTAGAAGACAAACAGCTAAACAATGTGTCCATCACCCAGAAATTTAAACTTGATGATATAAGTAGATTAAGTACATCCTTTTGATGCATATCTTTTTTCAGACGCTTAAAGACAAAAGTCAGACTGTGTGGCAAGTCCAAGATTAAAAGTATAAATAATTAAAATCAGAATTGAGCTTTTAGCTGTGAACATGCATAACTTAAACTATATTGTGTACTTTGGAAATTTTCTTAAAATTAAAGGAATCCAGGTCCCTCCATTACCTCTCAAGGTGTGTAAATGTTAACTTTTAATAGATACCAATCTTAATTTCTGGACATTTACACAATGAAAATTGGAAAGTTGCCATCACTGGTAAAGCACATGAGGAAAAATTTCATTCCAACAGAAAAAATCCTTAAAACAGCTCAAGTACTCATGTGCCAGTCTCCTTTAAACCATCAGAGCTATGTGGTGTCTGCAGTCAGACAATATCCCACCTAACCAAGACCCTGTGAACTGGAATCATTCTGTAATACTGAAATCACCAATAAACCAGTACTGTTTTTAATTATATCAAAAAACCAGAATTTCCACAGAAAACCAAGAAGTAATAATGCTTATACTGAAAATGCAAAAGCAATGCTTCCCATTTTCTGAAATTTAAAAACTTGGTTTTGGAACACCTCCAGTTCAATCCCGTCCCAAGCCAATGGAAGGGTACAACTTAATCATAAGGGTCTTAGAGCAAACATGTCCTTGCTCTCCCCAGCAAGGCTGACCACTGCAGGACTGGGAGCTAAACTCTGCAGCTGCTGAAACTGGTGTTGGTACCAGTTCCACTTCTGCAGCTTAGAAACAAACGTAACTGCAGTGTGTTTCACTGAACACCTGCAGGCTCCAGGGAAGGCTTTGTTAATCACATTTTTAAGTCTGTTCAGCTCAGGAACAGGTGGTCATGCAGAAATTAGGTGGAAAGAAACCTCACATGATCTCAAAGAGGCTTTTTAAAGCAGCTGTATCACAGGTCCTGATGTGCTTTTCCACATTAGTGGTAAAAAGTTAGCTAACTTGCCAAATACAAACACAAGGGGAGAAGGAAGGAAAGCATTCCCTATTGCATCATAGTTAAACATCTTCTATTTAGTTTCATACAGTTGGTTTCTGGGTTGGTGTGTGTTCTCTTGGTAAGCATTTTCAACATACACATGAAATAACACAAAGCCAAACACAAGGATTTTCCCTGTCCCTCTCTTCAGCTACGTCTATAACAGACTTACGGCAGACCAGTACTCCATTTATTAACTAATAATCTACAATAACATAATTGTACCTTCCCTACCATTGGTTTCTAAATAGAAAAACAAAAGCCAGAAAAAGCCCAAGTTAAATCACCACCACCCTCTGGAGCCAGGGAGTCTGGCATTCTTGGCATTGCACTTCATGCAAGATCCATTCATTCATTACATCAAGAATGCCATTTTCAGTGCCACAACTGTTAGAAGGGTATCCATTTACAGACATCTCTGAGAGATTAGTATAATCTCTCTGAAGCTGAAAACAGTATTTCAAATACAGTTCATAGAGATACTATGTTTACAGGACAGAGACACTCATTTTTATAGAACAACACAACACACCTCAGCAACTTTGTAACAACGCTAGAAATAAAATACTTTGACATAAAAGTAATCAATTTTTAGGGAAATAGACATTCAGTGTTTCTCTAGAAAAACATGGAAGCACTTACCACAAAACACCAGGAAAAATAAAAGTCACTTCATGTACACTTCCAATCAAATATCAGATGAAATAGTAATGTCAGAAGCAGGCAGCCTCTATCTATTGCAGTGCACAGCTTCAGCAGCAAGGACACTTAGAATCCCACTAACATCTTGCTGGTACATAAATCAAATCATTGTCTAATCTTACATTTTTTTACCTGAATGTTGAAAATGCAAGCAATCCGGATTGCACATCGTATACCCTCCAAACAAAGAGAGGCAACTTCGGTGTCATCACAGTCCTGCAGACCCACGCTGAACGCAGCCAGGAAAGGCGTCCATGCCAACTGCAATGTATGCAAAGCAAGTGTTACACCAGCAATTGTTGGTACTTAAGGGAATGTTATAGTTTCACCATCTTGCTGAAGTGTAAATTCCATTCTTAACTTACATAATCAACCTTGAAGCTGTCTTTTGACAAAAAGGAAAGAGAATACACAGACATGAAATATAATAGTAGAAAGTGTGGTTAGAAGAGACGTGAGACACAAAATGAGGCAGAAGTAGTGCAGAGTGGCGCTCCCCTCAAAAGCACTTGTCCTCTCCCTCAGCAACAAACACACAGGCATCTTCAGACAGTTGTAAAAACCAAATCCTAAAGCTATGTCAATTAGATCTCTGGTAAGAGTTTTACCATTCCCAGGATGACATTTATCTTTGCACATTGAAAAAGAAGAGTAAACAGTTATTCTAATAATCAACACGCCATATAACAGATTTATGATGAAAAGCACATACTTAAGTAAGACTACCTTATCCTGATAACACCAGAGAAAACAACAGCAAAAGAAGGGAGTGAAGTAAAAATAAGGCAAACTATATTAATCATACTAAAATCATAGTAAGCTAACAACAACAACAACAACAACATACAGGGCATGACTCTTGCCTTATCTCTCTGCTACTAATTTTGTTGCCCTTTTCCCTCCCTCTTTTTGTGCCTAAGACACTACAGATGTTTCCCATTCCTCCTGCCTTAGGTGGCACTGAGTACTGCAAGAGATCACACATTAGTTTCCTTGTGGTCAAGGCTCCCTCTCCCAAAGGAGGAAAAAACAGTGAGAAGATGCAGAGGATCCTGCTGTAACTACACGGAGTTATGGAGAGGAAACTCCACGGAACCCAGAATGATTTTAGAAATAGTTTTACCTGAAGTCACCCCAGATGAAATACAGAGTCAATGGGCACAGCAAGGAGCAATAGATTTCACACTTAATTTCATAATAAAATGATGCACCACAGAGGTTTGGCTTCATTTAACCCAACAGCTCCAAAAGCACTACCTTCAAAACGCATTTAATGCTTGCACATATCAAACTGTAACTATGGGACAGTATTAAAGGCATTGGATGAATTCATAGATTCAGGATTTAATTCCCTACTGTATCACCTTTAATGGTCCCTTCCAACCCAAACTATTCTATAATTTTATGTTGGGAAATGTAATGTTTTTTCCCCAATGCCTTCCTAATTTTCCCTGCTATTGTAACCAAAACTAATCTTAAAAAAATCACAAAACTGAAATAATTTCTTAAGAACTATCTAATGGTCTGTATACTGTGCTTTGTAACTACATGTACACTGTTATTTGTAGGCTGAAAGAGGTGAAAATCAAGCCTCAAAACTGGACAATAAATTCTGGGCTGCTTAGATGGATGCATAAAGTGATTTTTTTCTATTTTAAAAATTCAGCCACTCTGAATCTGTAAACACAGTTACAATGATCAATTTTATGTGGACATCAATGGGTGAGATACCCAGAAATTTGTAAATTTTTACTGAAAATTTAAGTCTAAATTAAAAAAAGGTGAAATTAGGTATTCAAATTCCACAGTTCTCACTTGCTTTTGAGAAGAGGGCCCTCTGTTCAATACATTACACTACCATCCTCAGTACCTTAATTAGTTCATGAACATTCTCAAGTAACTTCAAGTAACAACTTCTTATTTTTTGTACCTTCATGAAACATGTTTAGGGTGTTAATTTAACCAGTGCTTCAAATTTTGCTCCTTTGAAAATGAGCTTTGAAAATACACTTTCCAGATAGTAAAGGGTAGGAAGTATTAGGGCTGATATCCTGAAGAAAATCACACTATGAATTTTACAGATGCCTGCATGTGAATTATTTAATTTCAGCCTTTAGGAAGTTAGCAGAGAGAAAGTATAGTACATCTCTGCTATGTGACACTTAAAAGTAAATTTTTAACAAGGTCTGTGCTTAGTGTTCCTCCATACAAATCAAATACTATGCTAATTTTTTTAATAAGGTGACAACTTGCAATTTTGCCTCATAGACAGCAATCTTACACAGAGATCCTCAGTGTGCCCAGGTGTCCAAGAAGGCCAATGGCATCCTGGATGGTATGAAGAATAGTTTGGCCAGCAGGACCAGGGCAGTGCTCTGTACTCAGCACTGGTGAGGCCACACTTTGAATCCTGGGTTCAGTTCTGGGCCCTCACTGCAAGAAAGGCATGGAGGTGCTGGAGTGAGTCCAGAGAAGGACAATGGAGCTGGTGAAAGAGATGGGAGTTGGTCCCAAGTTACTTGGGAGTTCTCCCAAGTAACAAGGGAAAGGATGAGACACGTGGCCTCAAGTTGCACCAGGAGAGGTTTATATTGAATATTAGGGAAAATTCCTTCATAAATGCAATTGACAAATGTTGGAACAAGTGCCCAAGGAAGTTGCAGGCAGCAACCCTGGAAGCATTTAACAGACAGGTAAACGCAGCACTTCAGGTCATGGTTTAGTGGTAGACTTGGCAGCACTGGGTCAACAGCAGGACTCAAAGCTTTTAAGAGTCTATTTCAACCTAAAAGTTTCTGTGCTTCTTGGGCCTGGAGCTCCACCTAACCTCATAGCACATCCCCCTAGGGAACCATTTGCTTATTCAGTGATAGTGGTCTGAGACTTTACTTCCCTGGAGCAGTTCACAAAGGGGTCATGTGAGCACCATGACTTGAACAAGGGCACAAACAAGAGTATGGTAAAGCTGTAACAATTTATCTCAATGGCAGATGACTGCTGTGAGTTAGGTATGCCGGAGACCACATCCAAGAGCCCACTGAGGCATGCTGCACTGCTGAACATACTTTATGAATCTGAATCACTGCTATGGAAAAGGCATTTGGGATGCAGACAGCTTTGCACTTACACAATAGCAGTCAGGTGCTTAGAATAATAGTTTAATACATGTCCATCTTCCTCCCCTACACTGGACCAGAGTCCCAGCTTTCTAAAGTATTAATTTGCAACAGACAACATTAGATAAATGTTCTTCCTGATAATTGCTCCACTGCTTCTTGTACCAGCACAGAAACTTCTTAAATTCCAGGGTAAATGAAACTAGATTAGAAGGTTCAAAATCCTCTCTTTCCTGTAGTAAGTTAAATAATTCACAAAATGAGCAAAACACAGTGAATGCAACTCCTTAGTATTTTTAATAAATCCTGTCAGTCAGCATTTTGTACTAAGAAACTGTGATATTCTACATGATTATCTAAACATGTATCTCACCTTAAACATGGGTCTCACATGCTCCAGGTGTGTTGCACTGGTAAAAGGGGCCTGAACGTGGCTCACTGCCTCCATAAGAGCTTTAGCTGTTTTAGCCATTTGTTCCATTTCCAAGTTATATAGGAGTCTCCTCTGCTTCTCACTAGCAACACCTGCAAACACATTTTTTTCTCTCATTTGTGCATCTTTAGCAATGGTGTCTTTAGGAATATAATAATTTTATGTTTTTCATTAAGTACAATATTCAGATGCATTTTTGTATTATCTTTACTTTCTGAAATTATCACACCAGCCTTCTCATATTTCTTTTACAATATAGATAAAATTTAACTTAAGACGAACTTGTATTTGAAATGTAAACTATTTTTAAGCCTTTACAGAATTTTAAGATTTGAACAACAGAGATTTCTTCTCCATCACCTCAAGTGACAGCATAAATATCACATCCACTAAGCTAAATTCAAAAAGAAGAGATATTTCATAGGAATCCATCAGCAGAGAAAATAACTGGACTACCTTTTTCAGTGTGAGAACTACATTAAACCTTTTAATTTACATAACTGAACCTCCATCTCATGAAGACAGTGAAATCCATGTTGCATGCAATAATAATCTTTTTAAAATTACAATAAAATATAATGTTAAGTGAATGAATACTGAAAACAAGAGTATTTCTTTTTCCCAGATGCAAATTTCCTACAAGCAATCTATTCATAAGGCTAACCTAGGGCTTAAATTGTAGAAATATGCTGGGAAAAAGTTAAATCTCTCCTAATGTTCTCTGTAGAAAAGCTAGAATGAGTAACATCTCAATCTTCACACTGTGCAAAACACAATTTTTCTGTAATCTGAGAGGAGAAAAGATAATTAATAATTAATAATAAAAGATAATTAATAATTAATGAATTAGGGCCCTAAGAATCAAACATTGCAAAATATTTGAAGACAAATTGGTTATTGCAGGAAATCACAACAGTTACTTAAGAAAAAGAAGACACACAAATTGTGTGTGCTCTGCTCTGTACCTATTGACAACCATGTAACTCCATAGAGCCCTCCAATTTCACTGCGCTGGTGCTCAGCAGCAAAACCTGCCTCCTCCATGGCCAATGCACTGATTGCCAGGAATTCAGATGCAAAGGGAAGTGAAAATAAGCAGTTGTATTTAATGCAGTTTTGAGGTTAGCATCATGTATTTATGTTAAAAAGAAAAGGATATGATATGAGAAGCTAGGACTTGCTGTGAGTTAAGTGAGTGGTGTTTGCTTCATTCAACTCCTGTTTTAATTAGGGGAACTTCATGAAACTGAAGAGCTAACCCTTGAAGAAATATAACAATGCCACTACTTACTTTGTTTACTGGATTTTGTGGGTATTGTTAATTCTTTTGTTTCTTTCATTGAAATCTTCTTTCCAGCTATTTCATTATAGATAGCAGACAAATATTCTTCAGGGAGATCTTTACTGTCATTGATACCTCTATTCATTTTAATATACTGTTCTTTTGTCATTTTATTCTTAACCTGAAATGCAGAAAGTAGCTGTAAATATCAAGAAATGAGGCAAGCTTATGAGTTACAATGCTCCCTATAAAACTGTCCAGCCCACAAGAAGTTACCATCAAGGATAAACCTGCTGATTCAGAAGACATTTTAAAATATTCAACACATCCAAGACTACACTGTCAAATCTACAATCTGCCACAAAGCCATGAGGACATTCCAACACTCAAACATTTGGTAGGATCGACAGATCAAATGTATGCCAAATTAGATGTACATTAAAAAAATAAAAAGGAAAAAAGAAGCTTTTTCTTGTCATACAGACCAAACTATCTATCATAGAGAAATCTACCTTACAGAAAGGCCTAACCAAAAAAACTTCAAAACCTCAACACCCATGAAACATAATACTTAAAAGATGCATGAATGTACACTACCTTACTTCTTACACACATAATGGTGTTAAATTGGACATCAAGCTTTTACAAACACATTGTCACAAAGCCTGAAAGTTACATGCCTATGAATTACACAGATATTTATTCCAGCAACATACCTGTGGACTGTGAAGATCTGTTGTCAACATGATAATTGAGTAAGCTAAAACATATGCAGTATCTGCACTAGCAAAAAGAGTTTGCCTGAAGGCAAAAAGGAGAGAAAGAATAGCAAATTAAATTTATTAGGATTTTTTACTAATTACTCAGCTTTCCAAAGTTCTGAAGAAGAAGTGTATCTTACCCTTGGTTACATTCTAAATATCTAGCAGCAAATTTCTCCATTAAGCGATCAATTTTTTGAGCTTCTCCGGGTAGACGAAATCCTTCTAGAAACATGCGCAGAGCTGAAACAAAATCCTTTCCCGAAAAGTCGTGTTGGTCTACATATGCATACATGACTTCTTTGTTAAATTTATCATTGTCTCCCAGGAACTCCCCAACCTGAGTCTAAAATAAGAATAGAAAAGACAAACTAGTGCATTTATATTTGAAAAATAAATAACAACAACAGTCAAATGTCGTATAAAAAGAGGCGTGTATTGCAGTTAACTGAGACGAATTCCTGCTTCCTCTCTATTGTCTGAAGCAAAGTATTTTGGCCATACCATCCTATGTAATCATAATGAGCAATATGAGCATGTAAGAGCATCATAATGCTCTTACATGCTCATATGTATCTGCCTACATTCTTCCTTCTCTAATGGCTTTTACTCACATGTCATTAGTACTGATCTCAAACAGATGCAAGGGATGCTCAAATAAAAATAGCTGGTACTCAAAATACATCTGAGTTGATCACTGTCAACACAATACAGTACAATGAAAAAGAGCATGCATTCAGATAAAGATGCCTGTATATGTAAACTGAGGTTTACAGAATGTTTTAATGTCTGATTCTAAGCATTAATACTGAAATTTGTGAATTCAGCCACAGCTGCAAACTTAGGCACCAATGGGTGTGGCCTTCATGCATAATGGTGAGAACTGCTGTATCAGAAAGTTAGGTCTCTCATGACAATATTAACATGAGATATTCCCACCCAGATACTGCAGGACTCTTCCAAGTCCGGCAACAGCTGCTAGCTGTAAATAAAATCAAAGAGCTAATCTCAATTAACTAACTTTCCTCTGGAGGCAGAAAAAAAAGTGCTTTTAATGTTGTTGCACCACATTATTATTTTCACCATCTCTGAAGGACAGATACTTCTGGCAGTTCCTTACTAAAGTATGCAGGATTTACTAAGTTGCTTCAAGCTATACTAACAACTAAGTACAAGTTCTGAGTCAGCTCAAGTAGGTCAGTCTCTTGCTTTACACCTTGCCGAACCACAGGATGCACAGAGCACAGAACAGAGCTCTACTGCACCCTCCAACTCAAATTCCTTGAACTTACAAATTTTAGAAGAGAGAGAGAGAAGTTTCCTTTTCTTCATTCCACAATAATGTGATACACACTCTGAACACTATTAAATGATTTGCAATTAGTATGAACACATGAGCATGAGCACAGACAACCATCAGGAAAACAGTTTCCTTACTGAATCTAATCTTTCCTCTTGATGCAAGAATTGAGCAATATCTTCAGGGGTAGTGCCAAGCATTCCTTGTTCTTGCAGGTACTGAATCCCCCTCTTTGGTTTCTTGTTGAATCTGTACAATGAAGAGCAAGACGAAATGAGAGTTAATCCTTTTACCCATGCAAAAAGCTGTACCAGCCTAAGTAAAGAAATTCAGAAATTTCAGGTAAGATGCTGAAAAATCTACATATTAAGTATTTTTCCTTTATCAAACTGCACATTAGATAGGAATGAGCCATTTCCATTTACTCTGGCACTCATGAAGAAAAAAAATACTCCACAAAGACAGCAAAATCTTGAAAAGAATAATTATGGTGTTGATTTTTATCTTAATCTGTATGAAACAATCAATAAATCCATTAGTTGCCTGCAAAAATGGAAACAGAAAAAACATAGAACCAGGAAACTGAAAGAAACTGAAGCCCTAAAGGACTAAGGCATATTCGTGCAGGGTCCCAGAACTGTATGACAGGAAACTTTCATTTTTGCATAAAACTGACCTCACTGAAGAGATTAAGGTGACAAAGATAAAATCACATGGAAGATTCACGTCAGACTGCACTGAGAAATTATACTATCCTCCAGTTCTAATTACGACAAGTTAATTAATCGTAAGGACTCATCAGCATAAGCATACAGGCATTTTCACCAGTAACATGTACATGAAAACGGGTCACATTCAAATGATCACGAGTTCAATGTTCTTTTTATCCAAATATAAAAACCTTATTTTTAGACAAGCAGGTCTGGAGAAAAAAGAACAAACATTCAGAGTACTCATCTTCTAGCTGTGAGGAATTAGGTTAACACAAAACACTGTTGACAGGCTCCAAAGGGGACACCATTCAGCACTCTTTCACCAGAGGAAGTGCTGTTACATCCAGAGTTTTTTTCCTAACACAAGATGAGTATCTATGAGGAGAAGGAAGAAAAACCCAGGAATCTTCATAGCTCCAAAAGAATCCACCCTCCCATGGGTGATAAAAGGGCACTCACAAGTCAATTCCTTGTTCTATTATTTCCTTTTGCTGCTTTAGGACTTCAAACTGCTCTGGGTTGTCAGTGCCAGACATCTGCGTGCTGTAACTGCCAATTCCTGATGAAGCAGTAGAATCCAAAGAATTTAAGCTTCCATATCTGTTAATTGTTTCAGGATGTTTGGTTTCACTGCTGTCCTGTTCTGTGGGTTTTTCTTGGCCTATAAATTGGAAAGGGTTACTTATCTCCAAAATACATTCAGTGAAAATAAATAAAAATCACATGTCAAATCTTCAATGCAAGCTTCTAAAACTCAGGGTTATCTTCAATTATGTATTTATTTTATATATATATATATATATATATATATATATATATATATGTATATAAAGGAGAATTCTTTCAGTTCACCACACACTGAAATTTAAGTCTTAAATTGAACTGTAATTTCTGGCACTTGAGAACAAAGCCCCAACACCTCGGATAACCAACTACAGTTTTAATATTTTATTTTCAAATCTAGTGTCACTTTTAACCTGGAGCAACTATTCTAAGTTTTGGAAACAAAGTGTCTAAAAGAATTTAGGCATGTCAAGGAGCAGGTACTCTCAGCTCACAAAGACAGCCATGCTAACCACTCCTAGAAAGCTTACTACTTCACCTACCAACTTTAAGTGCCTGATCTGAAAATTCTAGCATAACCTTAGGTTGGATGAAAACAAGATTAAAACACATAATTATTTAGTTACTTCATGGCTTACAACAGTCAAACTTGTACAGCTATAAAATGTATAAGTAAATATTCAGTAAATAAGTAATTCTTAAAATAACCAGTAAATAAGTAAAAAAAATGCTCTCTATTCAACTTGCTTTAGCAGTTATTTAATCAGGATGAAATTACATAAAAATTAGGGGAGCTTCAAAGAAAGTCTTCAGACACTTTTAAAATTAGAAATACAGAAAATAACAGGATTTAGATGTTTTTCAGTCCAGTAGCATTCTAGGAATCCATAAAATTAGGAAAAGACAACTAAGAAAACTTGTTCAAATGACACCAAACTTTTCAATATTTCTACCAAAGGAAAAATACTCTGGACATTAACAGCATCAAAATACCGGAAGAACACACTCAAGTCCTGTAGCATCTAATTACTCAAGGCAGAAGAAACACATCATATGTCTTACCAAGGGTTGTCTGGGAATTGGGATTTACATATTGATCCTTACTCCACTCCACCATGCATTTCAAGATCGATACTAAGCATTCCAATCCTTTTTTCCTCAAACTTAATTCCTAGAAGAGATTTCATAAACAGTTAGTTAGTGGACTGGAGAGTTTAGTCTCAACCTATTGTGCCAAGAAACATGAAACTTCATAAAGTTTGGAGCAACTTTTACCTGAACATTGGACATGCCAAGTTCTTGGCTACCTCTTCCTTGAGCAATCTTTGATAAGTCATTAACCAGCCTTTCAAATATATTTGCTGCATTTAAATCACAATCATAGTTCACGTAGATGTCCACCACGCTCTGAGCATCTATAAATAAAGTGACATTGTCAACCTTGGAATGAAGACTAGGTAATTTAATGAAAAGCAAGTATAGTTTTATTCTTTCAGATAAAAACCAAAATCTAGAACACAACAGTCCTTCATACCTGCACATATCCTTGTCAGTGTTTGTATAACCATCCACTTATGATCAAATGAGCTAGTAGAAGTTTCCAAGATATACAGGAAAATTTCTTTGAAGAAAACCTAAAAAATATTCCAGGAAGAGGGAGAAAAAAAAATCTATTAAAAAACAGTCACTAACTTTGATGGTCAAAATTCTGACATAATTGTGAAAGCAGCACTTTAGAAGTACAGGAAATAATGAAAAGGCAGAAAAAAAAGGAGGAAAGGAAGAAATACAACTTACAATTGATACATGAAAATAAGGAATTGGAATTATTTACTTATGTGCTTCTGCAGTGCTGTCCAGGTTTATTTTCTAAGCATTCAAAAGCAGAAGAATTTGGAATAATGTCAAATCCTGAAGGACAGCTCAGCCTAAGAAGAAGCCTAAACTGCTGTTAAGAGTTCCCTCAGGATTTTGAAAGAGGTATTACCTCATGACAAAAATACTTTATCTAAAAGATGATGACATTATGGCACAAAGATAACAAACAGCTACTTATGCAAATTTGAAGTATTGGACCTTGATTAGAAGGGAAATGTCTTGACATGAAAGAATCACTCTACAATATTAGATTACTACTGGAAGAAGGGTACTGGTCAGGCACAGCATGCAGCACCTCCATTAACAGGAAAGCTACTCTTCACTAGAATACAGATAAATTTGCCCTGAAAACATTTTAGTACAGGTGTTGTCGTTTGGAACAGAAACTATTTTATCCCCTATCAATTAGCTCCTCACCAGACTCATCAGCACCATAGGCTGACTAATTCAGCCAAGCTTCCTTAGCAGCTGAACTAAAGTTTCTTCTTGATTTTTCCCTGGGCAGCTGCAACTGCTGTAACAGCACCTGAACTCAAAAGTGGACAGGGCATTACATCATTGTTCTGTACTTCTGAGAGCTCAGCTCTTCACAGCCACCTGTGGCTTCCAAATGCACAACACACAGTTTTTTTACTAGAGGACTGCTGAGAATCTCAAGCCACTCAACTTGTCAAATAATATCACACAAATATCCAAATATATAAATACCCTTGTTTTTAATATTGACTGTTCCTTCATAGCACAGAATTTTTACAGAGATTTTTTACACTGTTAACCAGGTAGAGAAAAACATAAGGCTGTTTCCACTTTAAGTCATACATATGGGGAAAAACAGCAACACTGATTTTTAGGCAACTTTGGTGGTAAGCTATTTCTTCAAGCAAAATGTGCTAAAATAGTTACATGTTATTGATCTCTTTAGAGAAATAGAGGCACACAGCACAATGTCAAGCTAACTGTCTTAATAAGGAAAGCATCCCTATGAAACCTAAGGAGTTCAACACGTAACAATTCAAAGACTTGCACATGCTTAAACATACTTAAGTGTACTAGACTGATTTTAGCCACAATTTTATGTAATCAGAGGAAGACAAAAATTTAATACGTGTCATGCTGTGAGTAACCCTTAGTTATACATTTGGTGTTTTCTGAGTTGTTATTGAAAGACACTAATTCAATATATTCCCTGCAACTAGTGAAAGCATTTCTTTTCTGGTAGAAAATTTAAAAAAGAAGTCACTGATGAAGCACAGAAAAAGGTTCCAGGGACAAAAACTGAACCCAAATCTAAGCTAGAAGAGAAAATAGCTGGAAGCACTGCATACTATCAAGGCACTTCAGATCTTTATGCCTCTGAGACCAAGCTCACTTCTTGCTTCTGGTGTCACCTTTGGAAAAGCATATCCTGGAATGAAGAACTTCTCAAAACCATAGTAATGGTTTACATTTCAGCTATTTAAAAATACTGTTTATCAGTATATAACTTATGGCAATTCACATCACAGAGCTGAGACTTTGTTCCTAATATACTGGAAAACTAAACCAGAAAATAGCTATTTCTTATGTTTGGTCAACTGAAGTATGAGTTTTAAGGTATTCACAGTTATGAAAGGGTGGTAATGGTAAATATAGCTAAATGACACCCCAGCTCCTCTGATATCTAGGATTTGATGTGCTGCAAATACATTCATTAATACATCCAGAATTACTGTTACAATACAACTAAGGTACAACTTAAACCATTTTACTGTCAGAGGGCAGTGTTAGCTAAATATTTAAGTCAACAGGCCACGGGAGGGTCACTTTCAACAGAATCTGAAACTTTTCTTTTCAAACATGCCAGAATATTCTTACACAGATGAGAAATGCAGCCTCAATCCCAAAATATATAGATTTTGCATATTGTAAATCAGAGCATATGGCTCTCCTTACAGCTTCAAGACACAAACTGCATGTGAAGTTATCTACATTTCTACCCACATCTTCAGAATAACCTTTAGGATCAGTAGCTGAAAGAAGAATTCTTAGCTCACAATCAGGAAAGAGAAGTTTCTAGAAACTGCTGTACTTTGTAATAAATGGGTACTTCAGTAGCATCAATTTTTTGGGTTTGCTGTTCACAAGGAGGAAATGTAGCACTGATATGTGGTGATGGCCTTCAGCATACTCTAGAACCTGCTACATTAGTGCAGGGCATCCTATAACCAGTTTGTCTTATATACCTTCATTTTCTCTTAGGAATTTGTGAAGGGCTGGCAGTGATGGAAACCTATCAAATTTCTGTCAGGGAAGCCAAATGCAATGTGTTCACCACCTACATGCTGACTTGAAAGCATTCTGAACAACAGCAAGTCCAACACTTTCTGGGAGGCAGGCTGCGGGACTGAGAACAGCTCCACCCAGTCTGTCTGATGCGCCAAACCCTGCACACACACTACAGTCTTGCTGAGCACACAGTTGGCCTTGAAGCTTTTTAAAATGCATCATATTTTCAAAGCACATTCGGTCATTTCTATCCAATCTATGCTCAACCATATACTGTAAATCTGACTTGTTTTTCCCCACACAAGTATCAAAATAACCTGGAACACAATTTTCTGACATGCTACTGTCAAAATGAGGTTCTTCCTCCAAAGCTGGCATAACACATCAACTTGTCCAATGACATTCACAGATGAAGTGAATTCCCTGAATTCAAGGTCCTTATAACAGCAAGATTTATCAACATTTCTAAGCATCTCTTCACATACTTAAGCTCCACATGGATGAGGCAATCTGTCAGCTTCAGTATTCACACCTGAATCCCTAAAATAAGCAGCAGGGACACACTGCACACAGTACTACTTAATTCACCACAGAATTAAGATCTTTAACACGTGACACCACAAGAGGATATCCATGTGGTTGAACAGAGTTGTTCTGAAAAGCTGCTTGTACCTCATGCACAAAGAGCTGATCTCAAGAACAAACCCTCCACATACAGAATTAGAGAATAGTCTGAGCTGGATGGGATCTGCAAGAATCATTGAGTCCAACTCTTAAGTGAATGGCCTTCAGTGAATGGGGATACATCCTCCTTTGCTTGATGACTTAGAACTGACCCACTGAACATTCACAATACTTGCCAGGACTCAGAGAATTTATTGCAAAGAATATGGACTCATCTCCATTTATAGTCCAAGGAGTTAAATTGTGTGCACACCTTTAGAGGAAATGAGATCTTATTCAGGACATATATTGACAGAGGCCCTGATAAGCAAAGGGAAGTGGCTACAATAATAGAATAGCTGGGACTCCCCCAGAGAAAGATACCTGTTCAAGTGATCTCAAAGAAAATCCACAATGCTCTTCATGACATTACTTTCTCTTCCAAAAATCTTTTGCAAAATCATGTATTACACAGTCTTTTCCTGAGTGTATTCATATTCTTTATTTCTAATATGCAGTGCTGGGCTAAGCTTTCTTAATCACAATATTAAACATTAGTTGAACTTAGCCACAAACCTACTCAATTCTGAGTACTCTGCAATAGTACCGTGCCACACCCAACAGAAAACTTCAAAATAAGGAAAATCTGTCAAGTCTTACACAAAAGCTGTGAGTCACAAGGGAAAACAAATTTATTTACGCAACACCAAGCTACACAAAGATAAGCAAATGTTCACTTAACACCTCCCACACATTTAATTAGAAATTAATGTAACATACCTCAATCTGCATCTTTAGATGAGTCTTAAAGTTTGACAGGAGGGTAAGAAATATGGAAAGTGAAAGTTCAAATACTTCTGGAACTGATGAGACTCCATTTTTTGACAGTGCAACACAGAGGTACTGCTTTATAGCATTAATGAACATCTCATTTGTCCTGAAGACTGGTCCTGCATTTTGCAGAATGGACAGAAGCAACTGCAATGAAAGAATCTTTGATCGCAGTTCATGAGATCTAGAACAAAACAGTGCAGCACATCAGCCCAGTGTAAGCCATAAAAAATAAAAAAAAACATTCTCTTGAAAACTCAGTACAAACCACAACGATTTCGCAAGTGGAGTATTAATGAGAGAAACTCAAATTTGACACAACCAGATGCAGAATGGGTCATAAAGAGATGTTAGGTCTTTTTTTTGTTACATTGTTCATTTTTCAACCAAGAATGCAGGCAAGACCTTTTCCAGAAAAGGAAAAATTACTGTTGAACCACTCTCTCTTCTGCACCACAGAACAGCAGCAACAAGAGGCAATGCTGCCCTTTTAGCCAGAGAATGAAGGAGCATTCTTTCCTGTTAACAGAGCTTTGGAAGATCCCATCTAAAATCCAGCCCATCTACCAAACCCTGACTAGTGAAAGGTGGAATTTCCTCCTCCTCCTCTATTTCCACCAGCATGGAAAGGGAGTTGAAGGACTATAAACACAATACTTCCTGCCAACACTGAAATCTCTTTTCTCAAATACAGCACTCATCAGCCACTGGGCCCATCCCCCTCTGAGAGCAGGTAAGACACAAAAAATGTGCCTATTTTAAGCATGGCAATCACCAAGTCGGGCAAGGGCAGTGTTAACAAGTGCTCCACAGTACCATTCTTACAGACGCATGTAAACTAGAATGCATGTCAGAAACAGTGCTACTATTTCTGCCCTACAAACCCCAAAACAACAAACACAACAAAACAGCCAAAAACCCCTGAAACCACGCACAAAAAAAAGCATAAAGGAAATCTGCACCTATTAAAATCCAATTAAATTAATAACTTTCCAGGTGAAACCCTTCTCTCCTGAGACTCCTGATGCTCCTTCCCACTCCTGATCATTTCAAAAAAAGGCTGTATCTCTTCTGAAGAGTGGGTATAGACACAATTGGCTTTCCTAACAGGACAGCTTTCATTGAACAACTACCACTGACAGAGGACAGTTACGAATCATAGGGGACAATGACGGGAAATTTTTCATCCAGTACAGCCCAGACACAAGTAAGGAGTGCTTCAAGTCAATCTGTGAGACACAGGGTAGCTGGATATTTGCTATATATTGCAAATATAAAAGCTTAATTAAAAAAAGTAATCCCAGTCTAAAACAAAAAATGCTAATTCATATCAAGTATGTTGCAAATAAACTCAATTATGTCTGCCAAACAAAGTAGGATGGCGAAATCAATCTGCAAACGTTTCAAGCTCAAAATTTAATTCCAACAGCAGACTTTTCTTCTGAAGATGCTTTTGAAAAGAAAACAGCCAGTCAGTCAAATTGAGTGAGGAACTTGTCTCTCATATTTCTCCTAATGGGCTACAGGTCAAAATCAATCCAAAACTGCTCTATTTAACAGTTCTTCAAGAAAATGCTTGATGCTGGCAACTGCATGGAAGCTCACATAGCAATATCTTTTGATGCAAAAGGCTCAGTTTTGTACCCCTTGGTACTAGGTGTGCAGACAGCACATGACCAGATCATACTTTGCTATGGCATATAAGAATTTAAATATGAGGAGAATTTCAGTCATAAATAAAATATTAAATATTACCGACTTCCAGCAAGTGTCAGCTCCCACCTGAAATCCTGGACATGCTGACCTGAACAATTTTGTATGATGTGTAAAGCCCACTTAACTTAGAACAGGTTTAAGGTAAAAACAAAAACTAGCAAGCAAACCTTTGAGCTTATTTCACCCCCATCTTATTTTATTCCAGAGAAAAAGGAAACAAAGACATTAATGAGGTTCCCAGAAAGCAAAATGCTGATCTTAAGTTCCAGACTTGTGATTTTAAGCTAAAGCTTCAATTCAGTTACCTAAAAGCTAAAAATATTTTCATTACAGACTTCATAACAAATTTCATTGAAAGTAAGATTTTTAAAGAGGCAGATAAGACCCTTGAAATGCCATAAATATCCTACACCTCCTCTTCCAATTACAGCATGTTTGTAATAGTTCAAAAAGCCATCAATGCCTCAGAACCATTGATAAATTCTAGGCACTTCTCCAAATATGGGATATCTTCAAATGTATTTGCAATGAATTTTGGTTGCCCTAAATGCCTTTTTCCCCAATTTGTTTTTGTATGAAGAGCTTCGCCAGTTCTCATATGAATGTCAAGGACTCCATGGATTCAGATGAGATTCTCTAAGTACCTCAATAGCTATTACTGCTCTTGCAAGGGGAGTTAATCCACTAAAACCTTTAATATATGAACAGCTTTAGTTTCAGAGTACTAACTAAAACCACAGTATTTTCAAGGCATTTCCTGGAAAACAATTCTCAGCAATAGTGAGGAGAAACCCTCATGCCTCAGTCTTCATTCTCCAACATCCTGACTTTCCAAAGTACACTGCTAGATAATTCAAAAAGGTTCCTAGATTAAATCTTCAAACTCCTTTGACAACATAGTGTCTTTTCAATTTATTAAATCCACATCACACATCATTGATTTAACTAAATTGTCTTAAAGTTACCTGCTTTAAAAGCTAGACTCAGAACTGTACAGCTGATTTTATTTTGAAGAATACCAGGCCGTTCACTGTCACTTGAAATCATACTACAGTTTCAATTTGATCTCTTAACACTTCTGAGAACAAAAAAGCATTCCTCTTGAAAATGATTAGCAATTGTTCCTAATGTGCAAATCTAATGTATATAAATTTTATGCACATAAATCCAAGATCGGAAAGCAAACTTTTCTGCTGACACTCAAATTTAATACTGGCACCCATCTGTAGAGGAGACTCTATATTTGCTTTACAACCAACAATTCTATAAATGAAACTGAAGACATGGTATCTTCAGTAAGAAGAAACAACCAAATAAAATCTTTGTTATCAAACATTTGTGTTTTGATTAAGTAGGCTGACAGAAGTGTCCAACCTGAACAAAAGAATGAAACACTTCATCATGAATTTCTCATAACCAGTTATCAGCTCCAGGTGAGAAGTTTATATTAAGCAGAGCTGAGGACGTGTACTGGATACCCAAATGTGCTGGTTTCAGCTGCTGTAGATTTAATTTTCTTCCCAGGGGCCAGCACAGAGCTATGTTTTGGATGCAAGAGATAAAAGAAATTATGGGGCACAACCAGCAATGGTTACAAACCTAGAAGGTACCAAAAGCAGAGTAATGTGAGCAAGACCAGAAATACCTGATAATCTTTTAAACAAACTCTTTTCAAATGCATTATAAACAGCAACTAGGAAGAACATGTTGTACTTATAAAAGGACAGGTGTTAAGAAACTTCTGAACAGGTACAAAAAGATGCATTAAATCATAAAAGTACCTTCCCAAAGTTTCTATCTTCTTTTCACCATACTGTTAGTTTCTCATTAACAGGACTCACAAAAATATTTATATAATTTATTTTTTTTTTTAGATTAATTAGGGAAACTTTTAAATTCTACTTACTTTGGATCGGGTGGTCCATCTGACAGGGGCTTCATGGAGAGTTTACACAGTGACCTGAATACAAGGAAGGCATCCTTTTGTAAAATGTGGGAAAACTTAGCACCAGGGGTAGGTCCTGAAGAATTTCCAGATTCCTAAGGAAGTTAACACATTTCAGTATTCCATTTTGCATTAGTAGGGTGTGTAGGGAAATCCCCACCTCTGCGCAATAAAAAGTTAATATATTATACAAATATAACCAAATCACTTTAGCTTTATGGTCTCAAGATTAAAAAAAAACATTCTGCAGTTCAGCTGAAATGAAAGTCACTACTAAAAATGGCCTACTCAGTAAGAAGTCAGAATTAATTAAAGAGTGTCATGAAATTAGGTAGGTCAAGTTTAAATAGGGTAATTTGCAGTGAATTGCTGCCAGGCACTTTCAGTAGATAACTAGTTTAAAAAGACCCAAACACCAGACATTTTAACGTTTTACCTATCTGCTGCCAGATACATTTGATAAAATATCTGTGGTACAATAAACACCCCTATTACTAATTTCTTGCAATTCTATATTATTGTTCCATTGTTTAATGTTAAGTCTTAACATTATTAACATTATTGTTTAATGTTAAGTCTTCTATTTGTATGGTCTACATGACTGTAACTTTTTGAACTTAAAATTATTACTCTCAAACCTAATTACTCATTACTCTGACAGCAAATATTCTTGGTAAGCTGACAAGTGTACACATGTCTCATACAGGAGAGGGAGTGTATTTTCACATCTATTTTGTTAATGAAAATCAAATCCTCTCAGACATGAAACTCTTGATCTGTAATCACTGCAATAAGATCATGCCATCAGCCTGAAATTTGTATTTCTTGTTTGAATAGAGCACACCAAAATTACACAGACACGTGTATAATTTGCTATATGTTTCATTATGTATATTGAATACTAGTTTTATAGTTTCTCAGGAGCACTTCATGAAACAGGAAACTCAGTTCTCTTGAACAGTAACTCCATGGGACAACTAAAAACATGCTGGTATAAAAAAGACATCACGTGCAAAATTTATTCAGAAAAATTTCATTTAAGTAGTGAATTGAAGTAGAGTAACATGACTTAATTATTGAAATTCATGTCAGTAACCTATTTTATGGAATTATACTAATCACTCTGCACAAACATTGGGCAACATTTAAAACATAATACTTTTTTTTTCAGTATTTCCTAATTATATCTGCCTGTACCTGAGTATCATTGGAAGAGACAGATAATCTGTCATCCGGTAAAGATGGTGTATAAGCAACAGAAATTGGAGTCCCTGGAATTCCATTTGCCTGAATGTTTTCACTGTCACTGCCATCCTCTAAGGATACAGTTGTGCCATCACCACCTGCAGTCCCTTCCACATCTATCAGAAAAGATGCAAAAATAATTAACAAACATTATATGATATTAAAAATTATAAAGAGATTTTAAAACCAACATTTAAATATCAAAAATATCATAAGAAGGAGCTTAAGACAGAATATACATGGCACTACAAAACGATAAGAATTGCAAATATCCTTAATTCCCAATAATGAAAATTACAGTAAGAAATTTTATTATAACTTAACTTGTCAGGGGCACCACTCTACCAAGTTTCCAAGAAGTATTGGTATGCAACATCACTTACTATTCTGATAAACAGTTTACAACAAACTGAAAAATATAGTGAGACACTGCTACTACAGAGATGTGGGATCTCAGCACACCACTCTTGATGTGCAGAGACACCAGGGGAGCCCCTGGTTCGACTGTCCTGCTGAGAGGACCTCGGCTGGTCAGAAAGAAAAGCTTTGTAGATAAGAATTAATAAACAAGATTGAAGACAGAAAATCTGAGAGTCCAGACTCATCCTTCGAAATCGCGGCCACCCCGAACCACTTTTCCCATGTCGGGGCAGAGACAAGTAACAGCGGACCCCGACACAGAGAGAGACCTATTTCTGAGGAGTGTTCATACAGAAACAAAATAAAATAATAATTAAAAAAACAAAACCACAAAACCACCACGAATTTGTATTTTAAAAGAACATTAAGTCTCCAATATAGAGTGTAAATCAGTGTATGAAATCCTGTCCATTTTACTGCTAAATAATGCACTGCAAGAGTCAGACAGCACAACTACCTTCTTTAGCATGTAAGTCATATTTAAATGATGATAAATTTTAATTAAATATTTGAAAGTGGTAAAATAATTCTTAAGGTCAAGAACCAGGCCGCAGTCACTACTGAATAGACAGATATTAATATAATACCTCCAACTACTATGTTCACCATTTCCTGCACAATACTTTCTACAATTTCTTGTGCCTTCTCTTCGCACTCATTGCTTTCACCATCGTAAGTTCCTCCATCAGCTTTAGAAAGATCTTTATGAAGAAAAACAAACACAAACAAGTATTAATGAGAAACTCTGGAATTAAGAAGGTACTTTGCTTGCACTTAATATTTCAGAATAAATGTCTGGATGCTTCAAAAATAGGTATTTGCAGAATGCACGAACTCCAGTGGTTAACCTGCAATGTTAATTAATTACCACTGTAAATGGCAATTAATCTACAGGCCTGCACCAACAAAACACATCAGTTTTGTATCCTCACATACATTAAAACAGGGGAAACTTGAGGGTTTTGAGATGTTCTCAAAAACTTTCACAATATTACACAGATGCAAAAAGGAATTTTTGATACAGACTCCTACAGAGTGCAGGACTTAAGTATGCTCTTGAGGGACAGTGATAACAACGACAAATGGGCATTTTGCATTACTCAACTACTTGAAAACTACTTATGTCTTACTCCAGATTTGGGATAGAGAAAAAAGACAATCCTCAAGTCTTTTTTTTTTTATAGACCTTTTCCCTCCCTCCATGAAACAGAAATACACACTGATTACTTTCTGCTGCTGTGGCTTGGTCAGCTTCTGTCTGTTCATTTTCAGCACTAGAAATGTCAGATCCATTTTCTGCCTCAATATCTTCTTGAAGGTTCTTGTCCACATGGTTTGTGCTGTGGTCAAGCTCTCTCTCATGGTCTTTGGACAGCTGATCAGCCTGTGCTGGAATATGTCTCAACTGAGGTGATTCAGGCTCGTGATGGCTTACTGGAGACTGCTGGAGATGGTGTTGCTGCCTGTGTCTTTCCTTTTCCATCTGTTTGGCTTCCTGAAGCTACAAAAGCATTGCAAACACAGAAGTAGTTCACTATCAAAATAAAACAATAAGATATATGCATTATTTTATAAAGACGACATCTCTATTGTCTCTGCTTACACAGTAGCAGTTTAAGAAAATGCATCTTTGTTTAATTATAAATAACTCCAGTATCATGGGATAATCCATTGCAAGAGGGCTGCTTCCCAACTATGCATGTAGTTCCTACCTTCACTATCAAAGAAGGGATGACCACACTACAGAAATCATAGAACCCAGAGTTGTCTGCCTGCCCTATAAGGAAGCTTAGGGAGTACATGTGACAATAAACAGGAGTGCTTGGAAAAACATCAAGGCAAACTTTTTTTTGTGGTCGCTTGTTCTGGAATCCCCAGAAAGGGAAGAATTTCTGTGACTTCTGTACACTACCCCTCCCCCAAACTCCGTATTTTTCACATATTTCAGAGTGGAAAACACAAGAAGAAAAATACCAGATACCAGATTCTTTTTTTTTCCCTGAAGTACCCAAGTTAGAAAAACCAAAAAGACTTAATAATGGTGAAACAAATGTCTCAAGCTGGATTGCTTTCAAGAGGTAGTTTCTAGATAAAGATACTGAGATACTCACTGCTTGATTTTCCATACGTGCAAAAATGACATTCAGCATTTGTGTTAGAGTGGCCTTGGCTGTAGTTTGATTGATAAGATTTTTGCTTGCTAGGTAGATATTGTAACATGTTCTTACAGCCTGTAGTACTGTTCCTTCGTGGATTTCTATGTGTTGAGATGTTACTGCAGTGAGCAAAGCCTAAATAAATACACATATATACATTTACCAGTCAAAACATTTATCAGTCAAAAAGTTTGCAAATTAATAAATACCAAAACTGGACTACTTCTAAAATATATCTAAATACATATTTTGAACTGCGATTTAATTATGTTTTCCCACATACTCCTGTAGCCATATTGGAAAACCATACCAGTTATATTAAACTGAGTGTTTTTCATCAACACATCAAAGAATTACATGTTTCATAGCATGCAACAGCAAGAAGTAACCAAAGGAACCATTAGAGAGGTAGCTAATAGAAGTCATCCTCAAATTTTCTAGACACAAAACAGGAACAGACTGTTAAAGCCTGGAAGGGAGGCCAAAGACCCCAAAAGTTGTTTTAGAAATTAATGTAAATGTGATAAACAAAGACTGACTATGAGGTCAGACAGCTATACTCAGACAACAGCCCATTATAACAGCTTTTTTGGGTAGATGCTAGAAAATTGTATTGGCCCCTCTGTAGAAATTTGCTTATTTCTTCCTGTTCCTGGTAATATCTGCTTCTCTTTAAAAAAATAAAAGCACATAAGCCTGTGAAAGATCAGATAACACAGAAGTAAGGAACAAATTAGCTTTATGTCAGGCAAAAGCAGCCTGGATTAAAGGGCAGGAATAGAGGCAGATAAAACCTGAGGACAGGGTTTGAAAACATCGTCAGAGATGTGTGTAGAAGAGTGGAAAGAAAGGGGGAGAGCCTGGTTTGCAACAGTTTGTATTCATCACTGTAATCCAGTAGAGGGAATGAGGGAATTTTAAGCATTAAAAACCTTGACAGTTACCATTTAATGAGATATTTAGGGTAATAAAGAAAGAACTGGGAGCACTGGAAAGCTCCTATTTTTTAAAATTTATCACAGTTAAAAACAAAAGTTATTTCAAGTGTTGGGTAATTTACTCGTCAAACCACACCTCAGATTTCTTACTGACATTGCCAGAACTTCTAAACACACAAGGCACCAAGAAGTGGAGAAACAGTAGCCATCTCTCACTCAAACCCGTGAAAAAGTAAAATTAGTCACTCTTGAAAACAAGCTGAACAAGTGGAACCCAGGCACAAAAAGCTATTTTCTCCAAACCACTGCTGTCTGGACCCAACATAGTATATATTTACATTTAGTTAATATTTCTTTCACTCAGTTACAAATTATACCACTGATACATGTACACACACATACTTGATACACCAATTTAAGAACCATCTACAGCTTTTCACTTGGAAGACAAGGTCTCTTGCAGCCTAGCACTCAGGACACTAATGAAAAGTGCAGGGGGATCCAGTCTCCATCACTGTTTCTGGTGATGTCATTCATAAAGCTAATGTCATCTTCTGTCTCCTTCTTAAATTTGGATGAGTAAGAAGCTGATATTTGAAAACTCAATTTTAACTTCCATCTCAGTTCAGTGAAATCTTATGATGTTTTTTCACCCAACTTTTAATAATAGAAAGTAGAGCCAGCTAGTCGAGAAAGGTGACAAGGCTACAAATAGATTGTGTGTTCTTTTGTGTTAATTGGCTTAACAGCTTCAATTTCCTAAGTTTTTTTCAATATGCTTGTTATGAATAGTAGAACCTGGTTCTTTACACACCACCTGATTAGAGGTGTGGAAGCAAAGAAATGCTTCAAACACACACTGAGACATACCTCCTTAATATATTAATCCAAATTCGCTGAATAATATTTTCTGTGCAGCCTGAGGAATCAGTCTTTCTACAGGGCATCTCCCTGCAGATATCAAACTATACAAGAGTTAAAAGAGCTCTTGATAGTCACTTCTTTGGGGTTCTTTCCTTCCCAGGCACTAGATACAAATCCTAATGACTACCATACACATTTGCAAAACGAGAAGCATTTTTAGCTTTGATCTTTTGCTAATATCTTCCATCTTCCTTACAATTTAGTCATCCTCAGGCTATTAGTTAGTCTAACTTCACATCTCAGTTCTGCTAGTATGCCAATCCAGTAGAAATACAAGAACAAATGGAAGAAAGTATTTTATAATAACTTCCTGAACATCCTTCCCTCTTGACAGTTTGCATTTAGGGCTCAATTTGATGGTATGCCTTAGACACCATCACCTGATTCTCTATCATAGAAGAGTGTATCATTATCACAATGGCATGACAGCTAACCCTGAGAAACTACATGTTATGATCAGGAGTGGCAGTACTGCTCCTCTGAAACCCTTGTGAAGTCACACATTAGAAAAATAAACCCTTCCTTTCTCATTTTAGTACTTTTCTTCATGTTCCTCCCCTTTACTCTGTGACCAAACAACCACTATGTCCAACACGAGGAAGAAGAGAAGGGAGAGGGATGACAAATTAGTAGAGGACAATCATCTCAACCCCCTGTGAAGCAGGTTTACTCAAAATCCAAAACTGCTACACAACACACATCCTTGAGAGATGGAATAACAAAAGCTCTGCCTTCCTCCCAGCCACACTCTCACTCTTACTTTGCAACAGGTCCAGAGCATGAAGCCACCTGTGCTATTTTAACTCATCAACACAAGTAAAAATTATAGAAAACAAAAGCATCCTCAGGTGGTTCTCTGGTGTTTAGTTTTGTGGTTTTGTTTGTTTTAAAAGTGATTTCAGTAGATGTAGAGTATTAAATGCTTGCTAGGACAAGGGATGGGGTAAGGGAAAAGTCTGGGAGCAAAGTCTGGACAGACAAATAGCTCTCTGCAGAGGTTAGAACAGCAAGCTACTCCTATGGAGTCACAGCACTACGTTGCTTTTTTCTACCACATGAAGTTTTGCTGCTCAAGGCTTTTTGCAATTGAGTTCCCACTCCTTCTGGTCACACTTAGCTGATCTGCTCTCACAGTATCCTCACTGTGAGCTAATAAATAAAGGAAAGGAAAAAAAGGCTACTTTATTTACTCCTCCCCTTTGCTGCCCTTTAGAAACAGAAGGAAACCTTTGTGAAAGGTTAGAGCCACCTCATTATCCTTCAGGTCCTTCCAAAAAAGCTTTCTTTGTCACAAAGCCTGCAAAAATACCAACAGCCAACAAGTCTTCCTTGCCCTGAAACTACTGGCTACCTAACTGTGAGTTTGTTTCCTTATGCTTTCCCTCCAGTCCTTCATACTTACTGTTCTGTGTTTGGGAAAGACACTACCGTTCTGCGCTGCCACCTACTTACCATAAATAAGGCTTATTCATTTTTATAAACAACCATTGGATGGCTTTGGGAAAGGAGAAAAATCCCCAGGATAACTTCCTGAGTTACAGATTATCATATCTTTGTGTGACACCCACTGTATTTTTTCATTTAGCCTGAAGCATATTTTCTAAGTGAATTTTCTATTATTTAAAACAAATGCATTAGAACAGTTCAGGAAGTATCATGCTTTGTGAGGCAAAACAAATGTAACTTTAAAAGCAAACTAAATTAACAATAGTCCTCTACTAAAAACATCCAGCATCCCTCTGTAACTCTAAACTTTTGATTCCTCTCACACTGAATATTCTACAAGAACAGCATGGTTACAGCAAAACAACGTGACTACAACCAGGAGAAAAAATTTCAACTCAGGGTCAGTTTTTTCTTCCTCTCAGCCAACTCTGATCATCTTATCTTTGGAAGATTTATGACACAGTACAGCTGTCATCTGATCAGCACAGGCTTACTTTGTCTTGATTTTGTAATTCAGTTGCCTGGAAACTCCTGAATACTTGGAACAGCACATAAAACACAGTAGCCCTAGCTCCTCTTTTTAGTGTGAATTAGCTACTAGAATCACATAATTCTGTTTCTTTTGAGAGGGTCCACAGAGTTATTTTCAATTTTTTAAGTTAACTTGAAGTCCAAACACTTACTTATCACAAAATAATGTGTTAGCATGGACTGACTTTTGAAAAACACAGGAAACTGAATTCCTTAAGCCACAAAACAACAACAAGTACATCAAATAACCTTCACAGATAAATAATTTTTGAATTTAAGTGACACAAAAAAAGGTCACTAAATAACATTCAACTTTTCAGACTACAGCTATCAAGCACACACAAACATAAATTAAGCTGTAAAAGTACCTATATAACAGCATATACTTTCCATATGGCAAACCAAGGAAAGAAAACACGAGTGTAAACAGTCGATATGTTAAAACCTGCCTCCTCTTCCCTATTCCTTCTTTACAAATTTAAAAAATAAAGGAAAAAAAAAGTTTTGCCATAGTTTTAGCTCTTCATGCACCAAAAGGCCAGAAGACATGTAAACAGAACATCAAGTAAGATCTCTGCAACTGTCAGTGTAAGTCTGCACTCACACACCACAAATGCCACAGCAGCCTTAGGAAAGCAAGCCTGAAGGCAAAAAGATTCAATCAAGAGATGTTATTTCACACAATTTGAATAAACCACTTTTAATTGCATCAGCAGTCTAATTACTTGCATTGTTTCTGCCACAACAATCCCCACCACAACAACTACACAAAAAAGTTGCATGACTTCACATCAGAATTACACCCAATCAAACTAAACTACAAGGGAAAGGAAGAAAAAGGCCAATTTCCCATTCTGGTTCATCAACAGAGTCTGTAGATGAAGAACAAGGGCGTTACAGAAGATAAGAGAATCTGCAAGCGATAGGAGCAGAAAAGTTAAACTGGTCTCCATCAGAACTACTGCAGGGTATGGCTCTAAAGCTCAGACAGCTAAAAAAAGACAAAATATACTTCTCTGTGTCAGCAAGAGTATTTCCTTGGTAGTCAGCAGAAAGGCCTTTCCAGAATGTCTAAGTGGCCCTGGTAGTTGGGAACTGGCTTAAGATGACTCCACCCCGGAAAGCCACCGAGTAAGCAGGAAACCCGCACTGCCTGTTAACCCTTGCCCCATGATGGCTCTCGGATCCCAGAGCGAGGGCAGCACGCTACGCGAGGGCCACCATTCTGCACGCAGAACCAAGACAATCCTCCAGAGAGGAAGGCGTCCAAGTGATCTAAGTTCTCAGCTTTCACTGTGGTATTGGTGAAGCAGCTGCCCTGTGGGAGTGCTGCTTATGTTGTGGGTAACAGCCTGGGTTCACCAGCACAAAAAAGCAGGAGATCCAGGTCTGCTGCCTCCTATCTCCCTGATGGAATTAAGGTTCTTCAGACAACATACTGATCACCAGAACCACAGAAGAGTCTAAGAAGATCATCCTTCAAATTGTACTGGAGAAGCAGGGTACATGTTCATCTCAAAATTGAAGAGCTGGGAGGCCTGAGAGAGTATGACTGACTTAGAAGTTTCATTATTCTTCCAAAGTCAAAAGTTCTGGTCTTTGCCAAGGTTATTTAAAATTTTCAAGTCTTTTATGGTGTTCAGAGTATTGGACAAAGATGGAGTCAAAGTCAAAACAGTACTCTCCACTTTCCCAGTTGCTCTAACATGGCAATTAGCTACATGTAAACAGTAAAAAAATTAAGGCACTAAAAGGGTGTACACACTTAACAATTGTTGAAGAATTTACTTTCTCAAATCTTCTCCTGAACAGATGGACTATTAGCTCTTAAAGCCCCTTCAGGCAGGGAGGACTGGAATAAGAAAGCATTAAAAGAGACAGTATTACAATGAGAGAGAGTTATAATAGTTTCAGCCACTGAAAGTTTAAATCAATAAAAACTTCCCTTTGCAGCATGGAAAACATCTTAAATGCATGGGCATTTAACAACACAAGAAATCTAGAAAACAGCAGCATGAACCAACATTTGTAACAACTATCTGCAGGAGAAGTGGAGTGCAAAAAAGAACAGGGAAGGTTTGAGCTATGAAAAGGAGAACAAAGTACATTCTTTGCATTAATACAAGCAAATACAATCTGCAAGAAATGCCAATGCCTCAGGATAAATATACAAAAGATTATGAGGTAACAAACACTCCATTTTGCTTAACTAACTTCAAATGTATTCTTCACTGCTTTCACCATCGCAGCCATTCAAAGAATGCTGTTACAGGAACAGGGTACAGCATTTCCACTAAGCAGCTAAATTCTAGTACTTGGCATAGTAATTTCCTGAAACAAATACCCATAATTAATGGCTGCAGTCAGAAAACAGGTTCCCCAGAAACATTTGTACAAATTCCACATGCAACATTTATATAAGCTGTGGAAACAAACCCTGGACCTCCTTCAAGCAAAAGTGTATGACACAGCAGTACAAAGCTAGCATGGTAATGTCCAACTGCCAGGTCTAATTGCATTTCATCAACAAATTCCAAAATGGATCTGCTGCTTAATTACCATTTCTCCCACTGGGAGTGCAGGATTGTTTGACAGTAATTCCTCACAATTAGAGGCTCCACAGGTCTGCTGTGAATAAATTTCACCCAGTGGTCTATGTACAGGACTTGAGGCCACAACCATGAATTCACCCCAAATGCAGTGGAAGAAATTAGGGGAAGGGCAAAGAATAGGGGGTTCCCACCTCCAAGAAACAGGATGAAGAAAATATTTTAACACTATCTTGACATTTACAAATTAAGCACTTCTGGAACTCTGAGGTCAAGAATGTCTTCCTGCTGCCACCACTCTAAATATAGGAAGTATTAAACATGTTACCTTTATTATTTGTAGCTGAACCCCTTCGTCTGTTTGAGGGCCTTGAAAACAGCCACATATTGTCTCGATAATTCTATCAATTAGTTTTTTTCCTGGAGCTGTACTGTCTGGAGCATTCCCTGTCAAGTGCCCATATGCTATAAGTTTCTGGAGAGATAAAAGACCCATGTAAATATGAGCTTTAAAAAATTAAGCCAGCTTTTTGTTATAATAAATAAATTCACCTGATAGTTCTAACTTGCACAGAACAAATAAAACAGTACCTTTTACCCCATGTATCATAAAACATCAAGGATTTTTTACATATCCTCCAGATTTATTCCATTTTCAGTCAGCAACTGCTATACAAAGCTCGTCAGCAAGTTTCACGTTAAAGTTTTGTTCAGCAGTTAATGTTCTAAAACAAACAGGATTCTAAAAACTAACTCACATCACAGAAGTCGTCATATATAGTCAATATACAAATACTTTTTGTAGCAGATAAACCACCTGCAAATGCTCTCTATTTGAGCTACTAGCGTTCTATTTTTTAGAGTTTCTTTTGGTATTAGGTGTTCTGTACCTTTTGCTTTTCCTAGGTTTTCAATACTTAGAAGTAAAATTTATAACAAAATTAGTAAAACCCTCTTCTGAACACTTTAGGTACAAGAGTATTTGTAAATCCCCATGCTACACAGAGCAGCATCATGGTACGAGAGCAGGCCAGGCACACATGTGCCTGTGACTGTAAACTGAGTTCACTGTTGGGCTGCTCTGGAGAAGTGAATGGCTAAATACAATGCTGCAGAATTTCTTCTGAAAACACTACAGGAACCTCAAGAGTTTTGAGAGACTTGACATCTCAAATTGAAAATATTTTACTGCAGTTATAAACAGAATAAAATGGATTTGCTAATGCTATACCTGCTGTGTTAGCTCAACACACAGGAAAATAGGTTGCTGTACATAATAACCCAACCAGGTGACGGTGTTAAAACATATACACAAAGAAACACACACATACATTACATAATAAGTAAGGCATACATTCATCTTTTGGGAGAAACACATTCTATTTGTTGTGCGTGCAACTGAATAAAATAATAAAAACCCCATTACATTATTAATTACATATAACTGTACTCCCCCTCCAAAGCAACAGGATTTTACAGTTGATAGTTAAAACTCATGTTCATACAGACCTGTAAACAATCTAGGGATGTACTGACAATCCTGGGGCACTTGGACTGGCATGCCAATTCAAACGGGAGGAAGTATTTGTCCGCTTCAATGAAGCTTGTCTTTGATTTCACAGGTGGAAGAGTGCTTGAACCAGACTTTGCTTCTCCATGAGGGGGACTAAACAGAACAACTGTATTAGAAAACTGTAAAGTGATCACACGAATCCTTCTCACCACCACAGTGTTTATGAATCAAATGAAGTATCAAGAAAATAAACATTAGGAAAGACAAACTTCTAACAATAGTAATAAGTAAAGTATTCTTAACACCTTTTATACTTCATGGCTCCTTTGTGGACCAGGCAAATTGACCCACTTGCCCACTAAGGGGCTATCCAGTGGTACCTGCTGGCTTGGAAGCAGAAAGTCTTGCTTCCTCTCAAATACCAAAGGACTCCCCTAACTAGACTGGCAAAAGCAAAAGCAACAAGCTAAAAGAACAAAATGAGCAGAACCTTTATCTCAATCTCTGCTTCAAGTAACACCACTTAATTTAAGAGCTGAGTGGTTACCAGCACATCTCGCTTGGGCGAATTATCTGAAATTACTAACTGCACAAAAGCAAGAAAATTCTGAGCTGTTGAAGTTTTATTGATTACAGCACCTTTAGAAAGGTCGTGCTCATTAATACCAAAAAAGGATAATTAGGAATGGGTCATTTTTCACTAATTTGTGAATCAATGCAGTTTTGCTTTGGCTCAAAGCAAGATGTTTAGATTTTTCATTTCACACAATAATTCATCACCTTTATATAAAGCATTCCCAACCTTTTTTATGCACTCATAGGTGTCTTTAGAGAAAAGGTAAACTACACTGTCTTACACAGGCTTGAAAAGCAGTATTAAAGTGCAAAGTGTCATATTCTGTAGTGAAAGCTTACAGAATTCCTGCAGTAATTCAAACAGATTTTGGTAGAACAACTGCATTCAAATAGAGCTCCCGTGCACGTTGCTAATTAAAACAGATGCTTCAAGGAATGCACTCAATTTCATGTTCCTTAAGTAGAAGAATGAACTGCTAAGAGTTTATTATAAATCCAAAGCATGACTGCAGTCCCACGCATTATGGAGTGGGCCTTAAACTAATCAATACAAATTCGTTTCAGCTTTTCAAGGAGCAGGCTGGATTGTCCTTGAGATTATATCTGTCACCACATTCAAACAAATCTTGTTTAGGTTGCTTAAAAAGGGCACCCAAATTCAAGACTTAAGAGTGAGTAATCAGTATTAAGATGCTACTTTTTACTGGCTAGATCTCTTTTGTAGGTTTAAGAATTTATCCCTACACATTTTTTTTCCCTGAAAGATAAAAAAGAAACCTTTGAAGAAAACCAGAGTGGTTTTGGGTTTTTGGTTTTTTTTTTTTTTTTTTTTTTTTTTTTTTTTTTTTTGTTTTTTTTTTTTTTGTTTTTTGTTTTTTGTTTTTTTGGACGCATAACTTTATTTATTGCCCTGTATTTTTTTATTTTTTTGCTGGAAGCAGAGCTCTTTTGAACAATACCCTAATCAGATAAGTTGCAGAGGAAGTACATGATTCTTCTACGTTCTTGAATCTCTGATACTCCCATAAAAGGTTTACTCTGAGGAATGAAAGGGGAGTTATCTGTGGCTTGTGTCTTATGACAAGACTGTTCCTCATCTAGTGATTATGTCCATTGAAACCATTAAAATTAAGTTAAAAAGAGCACTCTGGAAATAAACCCAGAATTGTTCAAAACAAGGAGTAGGCCATGGTGAGATTCCGAAAATGAAGAACCCATTCCACAGCAAGCTGCTACATTAGCCTGGAACGTCTCCTAATTCTCTAAATTGAAAGCTATTTTGAAATGGGCAAGATATTAAACATGGAAGATGATGCACATTTATCTCTGGAAAAGCAACTCAGTAAGCTCTTCACATTGCTGGCAATGTAAGGGAAGGGGATAGCAGAGAGCGAAGAGAAAGGACTTCTTAATGTCAGTGAATTGCTTCTAAACCCAGCAACTATTCCCAAAACCTTCTTCCCCCAAGGCACCTACAAAGCATGGGAATTATGAAATATGCTGGTATTTATGTATTCGCTATAGAGAAATGCTAAGGTATGTATCAAATAATGGATTTGGACATTTACTTTGGCAGTATTTGCTGTGTAATAGTTACATAAATCAGCTTGTACTTTTTTATTCCTTTCCCCTCCAGCCCACTACCAAATACCAGTTCTGTTTAAAAAACAAATAGCAGAACAAAAGGAGCTGTTTTCCATGCAAAATTTCTGGAAAGTGGAAATTATCTACTCTTCAGTTCATTCCAGGTTAACTGAGATCAGTTACCTTGAACAGGGACTGGAAAAATTTAAACACTCATCATTAGAAATCCCTTATTAGGGGACTTGAATCTCAATTACAGAAGTAAGAACCTAACAATAATTTAACAGACTAAGAAGTTTCTCTATTCTAGGGCCCAGTAAAACAGTATTTTCTACTGCACCTAAACAATTTGACTCTACAGTAAGAATAGAGAAGTCCATTCACAATTTCCAAGTCCAGCAAAGCCTTCACAGTAGCAAAAGGCTACTGTCAAAATAACGACAGCACCAAAGAAACTAAAATCTATTTAGAAAATGCCTATAGGAAGATAGGACATACACATTCTACCCCCAAAAAATCACAATTTCAGATATTGATAGGGCAGAATTATGTAGTGGAAGTTCAAAAATGGCTCAACCACATTTGAATAAATTATTTTAATTCTGTGGTCTCATTAGTTTTAGTATGGTATTTAACTACAGGACTGGATTACTTTTCCTTATTCAGTGCCCAGAACAAATATCTCTCACTGAATATTTAACATAAAACATTTTTTCTTATCATGCTTCACAGTGTGGACTTCTGCTTTATTTATACTACTCTAAGAAAAACCTATTATAAATTCATATTATTACTTTCTGTCTGAAACAATCTTGTAGTGCTGGATGCAACATTTTCTAAACACTACATAAATATGAAATTTCTTTTTACAATCTTACTATGAGCTCATTGTATTGACTTCGTTTTACTGGGGGAAAGCAAAGCACAATCTTAATCAGATTCACTCCCTAAGTTTAACGAGCCCAATTTGATAAGCTGCAAGACTAAATTTTTCAGCATATTTAATATTAAGTTTTCCTTTACATCTTCTGAAACAAAGTTCCCACTAACTTAATTACAGCTAGAAGCGATTCTATTTTCCAAACCAAAATTGTAGATTTCTGCTCAAATATCCAGGAGATGAAGCAGAAATCATTAGCATCCAACTTTGACAGCTGTGGTTTTAATGATTTGCCCAGTACTGAAATCCAGTTACAGGGCAGAATAGATATCCCCAAGCAGCAGCCAGATGCCTAAGAACACTTTCATCCTTAGTTTCACCCACTGCTCCAATTCTCTCGACAAGTGGTATGAACAGTCTTCACCTCATGGTCCTGACTCAGAGTTAGGAATGTACACTAGATGAGGAAGATGATCCTGTGGAACATGTAACGAAATGTCAATAACAGATCCCACAGCTTAGCAATACTTTGAAGTTTGCTGACAGCAAAAGACAGCTGAATGTCAATTTTTGGTTTTACCATCACTTCTAGAAGAACTGTCTTCACAAATCTATACCTATTCCCTAACAAGGTCCTTTCCAGACACTGTCTTTGCCAGTTACATTACTTTTCTCTGCTCACTCCCACTTCCTTGCCCCAATCTCCCCCCTCTGATCACTGACTTCAAGTCTTTTACCTGCATTCTTCCCCCTTCTCTGAATGCACTTCAAGCTCTTCCACCAATACACTGAAAGAAATTTCTGCACCATCCACAAAGATCTTTTCCAACTTTGACCCCTTTTCCCTATGCTCCTTGGCCAGAGAGTACCACTCTGCTCCCTCTAAACTACCTTCTGCTGCTTCTCCTAAGCCCTGTGCCTTGCACCAGAACAACCAGTCCCATAAAGCAGCACTATCTGTACATTTCCAGATACCACCGACCACCCAAAATATGCTGAAAATGTTTTTCAGAGAGAGCCCATACTCCCCATGCAGAATAAGTATGGTACACATTTCAAGATGTTAAAAGCACTATCACTTAATACAATGAACTATCACATACCTTTGCTTTTCTGTTTCAGCCTTTATCTCCTCTGTAAAATGAAACAAAGGCATAGTTATAGAAATGGCATCATAACCACATTTACAAAATTAAGTAACAGAAAACTAATGGATAGCAAAACTATTCAGGCAAACATCTGAAACCAGGATTATTATAAAACAGAAGATACGTATTTCCAGTTTCATAAGTACCTGTACTCTCTACCTGCACTGACTGCAAACTGTATCATAATTACTTTGCAAATCTATATTCAAAACTGGATGCTTAAATTTGCATCCAGTCATGCCAGCTAAACATCACGTCCCTGGAATGCTTCTGTGAAGACACTGGCCAGCTCTTTTCACAGTTGATGTATATAGAAATAATAAGGAAAACACAAATATTATTCAAACTATTAATTTACCCATAAAGAATATAAAATACATACTGCTTGATAAATACGTATCATACAGAAACACAACCAATCCACCACTGCTAGTTCTTACATGGAATCTGAATGATCAATTATCACCCTTGGTTTTAAACAGTGTTAGATACCACAGTAATGACTAAGGGAGAGGCAAAAAAGTCTGTAGCACCTCTATTTCATGCTATTTTAAAATACATTATAACAGAAGGTTGAATAGTTGGCAAACATTTTCAGCAATTTTTTAACAATACATTTTCAAAATAATTTTAAATTACTAGAACTAATTTTAGGAAACATCTTTGATTCAAGACTAGTCTTGTCTATCCTCTGGTAATTTTGCATGCTTAAATCGTAGGGTATTTCATAAAGCCTAGGTTTTCCAGTGCTGAAGCAATACATACTTGAAATAAACTGTACAGGATCAAGAATGAATGTGTGTGTGGGTTTTTAAAGAAATCTTCTCAGATCTATTCCAGTATCAAGTCCTGCTCAAACATGCAAAGCCATAATCAACTAAACCAAACACTATACTTTGATTATTGTGTATAGGCCTTGAACTAGTGGCATGGATTGATTCTGACAAAAAAACACACCAACTTAATCTTTCTAACCAAGTTCCCATGCAGCAAAAGCACACTTTGTCTGCATCCTGTCCTTCATTTACCATTTCACATGGTAATACTGATTCTCTTACCCCGCACGGGTTCTCATGCTCGGTATTTTATCACAAATCACTCATAGCAAATATGTTTACTAACTGATTTTCCCAATATTGAGAAAACTGAACATATGGAACACACATCACCTTAAAATCTGTATCTTACTTCTGGTAAAACTGATGGTCATATTTACTCCCAGTAAGCCCGAGAGGTTAGCAGGTCATTGGTTCATCTCAGAAACAGCTACTCCAGAAGCTGATCAAATCTGGGCTACCCAGGACTAGACAAAACATGAAAATAATTCCATATACTAGACACTAAGCATCTGTCAGTAAGTAGCAATAAGAAGACTCTGCAATGTTTCAGTAAGGTCTGCAATGTTTCAGTAACGTATAACTTCCTCCCAGATTATGACATTATGACTTTGACTTACTTGAAGACAAATTCCTGACCAACAGAAGGAAGAAACTCTCTTCCTCTGCTCCAGCATCTTCATACCTTCCATTATTTTACCTCCCACCTCAGCATCCACACTCAGGAACTCTGTTCCCTGAGATACTCTGAAGTCTGTCAATTGAACAACATTATCAACCAACAGATAAAACTGAATGACTTCCAAGTGTACAGTTTCCAACAAAACTGACCAGAGGTAAAAAGCTTATACAAGTGTCATTCTAATTAAATGTTACTACCATTTCAAGCAGCATTGCCTAAGTCTATTACTGTGAAACCACTGATTTTATAACCTTTGTTAAATAAAAAGAAAGGTTATTACAGTGGCTGACATAAATTATTTTTGTAAGACTAAAATATTTGTAATTGCAGAGAAGCATGATATGATACTATTAGTATGAACGAGGTAAAACAGCAAAGTTGAACTTTACTTTTTACCCTTGAGAATAGAGAAAACCTAATTTCTTTCACTGTCTGATTGCTGCCTCTGCTCGCGACACCAGAACACAAGTTAATTACAGTACAATTTCATGGTCACGTATCAACCACGTCCAGTAGGAAGCACACAAAAATTCAAGAAGCATTATCAGCAGAAAACCAGATTATAATAAAGGTAACTTATATTTCTCATGCTAGGTAACTAATCTGTTAAAGACAGATGAACCAGAACAGTTACTGATGCATTCTTTTCAATGGGAAAAAGTAATCCCTGCAGAACTAAAAATTAGCTAGAAAAGAAAGATGAAGCCAGGCTTGACAACATTCCTTAATTTGCTCTCCCTCTCTCCAAACACACAACCAAAACTGCAACAGAGGATCTCAGAACTGGAAAAGCTTATTATCTCAGAATCACCGTTCACTCTGTGAGGGAAGAAATAAAGAGGATATAAGATGCTAAAACAGGGGATGAAAACTGTAGGGAAGGACAACAGCTTCCTGTGTATTTTCTGTGGTGTAAACACAGAATTACTATGAAAAACAGCTCAGATTACTTTATAGTACTAAAACCATCATGTGTCCTAAAATAGAACTAACTGCAATTATTTAAAAGTGCAACAGAAATTACAAAATAAAACCCCTTCTGAATCTCCCATTCACACAGAGCTCCAGAAGACCTCTTTATAGAATTTTGTGATCTCTATGATAGAGTTAATAGAAATACACAAAGCTTTTGCACACCGAAGCTAGAGCTGATCAAAGAGATACATTATTTTGCAGTTTTACAATGGCATGCATCAACCGTTTCGCCAAACATGCAAAATGAGGAGCCATGTACATGAGTTTCAACATAATATTCCATTTCATCTACACTTTTACAAACCCTCATAATTTCAAATAAATCTCTGAAAACATCTAAGACCTTTATTGTTGGTTTTGGCTGGGTTGGAGCTAATTTTCTTCACAGTAGGTTGCATATGGTGCTGCGTTTTGGATTTGTGCTGGAAACACTGTTGATAATTCAGGAATGCTTTAGTGAAGCAGTGCTTACAGAGAGTCAAGGCTTTTTTTCAGTTTCTCACTCCACCCCACCAGTGAGTAGGCTGGGGATGCCCACCACAACAGCCAATCCCTACAGACCTCAGGGGTATTCCATTCCCCAGGGTGTCTCGCTCAGCAAAAAAAAAAAAACTGGGGCAAGGGGCACAGGGTGTGTGCGGAGTTTCCCTGCTGCTGCTTGGAGACTGGCTGACAATTGGTCACCTGGTGGTGAGCTACTGCATTTTTCTGCATCACATGTTTCTTGTGTTTGATTTTTGATTGTTGTTTGATTTCTCCCTATTTTCTTTTTTTTTTTTTTTATTAACCTGTCTTTATCTCAACCCAAAGTTTTTGTGCTTTTACCCTTCCAGCTCTCTGATACAAGCCAGTGAGAGGCTGTGTAGGGCTTAGCTGCTGGCCAGAGATAAACCACAACAGGCATCCATAATCTCATTCTCACCTCTCCAGCTTTAATTCACTACTTTTAACATGTCATTTGAACACTTTTCCTTACTCTCTTCAGACTGCTTACAGCTTTTAGTATAAAAAAACCAAACTAGTTTCCAGTTTTCCCTTTCTTCCTTTAACACCTTATTACCAGCTAATCTCATGTGCAACTATAAAATCAACCAATTTCGCTGCAATGACAGTGAGTAACACCAACAGCAACATCAAAATGGCCAAGTAGGTCAAGTGGGTGCTGTGGGCAATACTGGATTGTAACACTGAACAAAACTCCAATTTAAGAATAATTCACTGTTTACCCTCCTGTATCCAATTCAAAGTATGATTTAAACCTTAAGTATATCAAAAGGCATCTCTTAATAACCTAAATTTCAAAGGGGTATCTTTAGGTATTATTTCCTTCTGGTTATCTAAATACGCTGTCATACTAAGTTAAATAGAAATATTCTAGAGTGATACTTTGCAGAAGTCAAGGATAACATTCTCATCAAGTGAGGAATAACTAAAATGCTATCTTCAGGAATGCTACACAGGGCTAAATTCTATGATATCAATATCAAACTGTACATTAGATTACAGGAAAAATAATTCTTATGGGACCTGATATTGGGAAAAATGCTAATTATTTATGATAAAGTGGAAAAATACTTTACAAGTTCATTATAAAATATAATGGTAGGCAAACCCCACACATCTAAAAGTATTTAATACATCTCATTCTGTTTTTTTTGAATACAATAAGAATTGTATTCAAAAACAAGTACATATTACATTCCCATAATACTGTATTCTAAACAACTGATGTTACCTGCCCGAGAAGCACATGCATAATTCTTAATTCCACAAGGATCTGTACATCTGAAGCCTAATTCTCACTGTAAGCATCAGAATAAAAGTTTATTAAATATATAATTAATTCAAGACAGAAAGCATTGGTATTTTAAAAAACTGTAACCATCTTAGGTAATCAGAAGGTAGAACCACCCAAAGCAGCACCGGCTGCAAGAATTCAAGGAAACAAGTCAATATTTGGAGTTCACATGACTTATACCATAGAAAACTACTGTGAGAAGGAAGCAATTTGCATTCAATTCTTTCAAGTCAAAGCAGGTGGATAAGATCCAAGGAACAAGCAGTGAAGATGAATTTAAATTACACCGCTATCTGTGTTAAAAAAAAGGTGAAATAAAATTAAAGCATGAAAGCTTTGCTTGAATTGACTTTGCTTGCATTCTTCCATCCAAGTATTCCAGTGACTGTCTCCAGTATCATACAAAATATTGTGGCAAATAAATCATTTAAAGATCCCACATTTTTCCCTCATTAACAATATTGAAAACGTCCTTCTCCATTTCAAGGTATACAAAAACTCTGTAATATAAAACTAGAAGTTCCATATTTATTTGAAGATAACTTCAATTAATTACACTCCCAACTATGTAATAAGATTATTACACATATGGTAACAGTTTAATTAAAAAAAAGTACCAAGTTTGAACTTACAGTAGTAAAGCCATATAAATATGACAGGAACAAAAAAATCAATTTCTCCTTCAAAGAGAAGAA